GGGACTGAGTTGGATGAGCAGCCAGGTTCATATTTACTGGTGGAGCTCCCTACACTCTCGTATTCGAATCCTCTCACAATAATAGATAACATTCAGTTAGTGTTCCTGATTACACACTGTACCTGCATGCTGGAGTGTAAACATAGGCAAGTGTTGCTGCAACTGTACATGGTATTAGTGAGACTGCACCTGGAGTACTGTGTACAATTTTGGTCCCTTACTCGAGGAGGGATATAGTTGCATTGGAGGCAGTTCAGAGGAATTCATTAGGATCAATTCTGGAGATGAGGGGTTTGATTTATAAACAGAGGTTGATCAGTTTAGGCCGATGCTCTCTGGAGTTTCGTGGAATGAGTGAAGATCTAATCGAGGTATATAAGATATCAATAGGGATTGACAAAATAGATGTAAAAAGGATGTTTCCTCATGTGGGACAATCTAGAATGAGAGGTCATAGTTTTAGGATAAGGGTAGCAGATTTACAATAGAGATAAGGAGAAACTACTTCTCTCAAAGGGTCACGAATCTACAGACTTCACTACCCCAGAGTCGGGTGCATGTTGGGACATTGAGTAGATTTGAGGACGATGCAGATTTTTAATTAGTATTGGGTTGAAGGGTTATGGGGAACAGGCAGGAGAGTGGAGTTGAGGCCAAGACGAGATCAGCCATGAATGTACCGAATGGTAGAGCAAGCTTGAGGGGCTGAATGGCCTACTCCTGCTCCTAATTCTCATGTTCTAATCTTCTGTGATTCATGCACCAGGGCACCCAGATCCCTCTGCACCTCAGAGCTCTGCAATCTCTCTCCATTTAGATAAGATACTTCCTTTTCTATATTTCCTGTGAAAACAGACAACTTCACACTTTCATGCTTTTGATGTGGCATCTTATCAAATGCCTTCTGGATATAATTATTCAGGGGCGTGATTCAAAGCCATTGGTTTGTTCCAGCTGCTGCAGTGTTTAAGTTACTGAAAACCCTTCCCATTGAATCCAAGAGAAAGGGAAAGGTCTGAGGGTGAAATATCAAAAGCTGCATCAAGCCCCTCTCCCACCGTGAACAAAAGTCAGCTGTTGAGGGAAAAAAGGGAGAGTTTTTAAAAGGGCCAATGACATTGTCACAAGAAAAACATTTGCCGTCATATACCTTTCAACATTTGTGATGCAAAATGTGTGAATTGTACATATGTTATGATCTTTTTTAGTTTTTTATTATTAAATTAGTGGCTTTTTTTATTCAGTCATGGAGATGTGGGCGTTGCTGGCTAGACAGCATTTATTTCTCCATCCCTAATTGCCCAGAAGGCAGTTCAGAGTCACTCACATTGCTGTGGGTCTGGAGTCACATGTAGGCCAGACCAGGTAAAGATGGCAGTTTCCTTCCCTAAAGGACATTAGTGAACCAGATGGGTTTTTCCAACAATTGACAATGGTTTAATGGTCTCCATTAGACTCTTAATTCCAGTTTTTTTTTAATATATTGAATTCAAATTCCTCCATCTGCCATGGCAGGATTCAAACCCAGGTCCCAACAATTACCTGGGCCGCTGGATTAATGATCTAGTGATAAAACCACTAGGCCATGGGTGTGTGAGTTTATTTTTATCAAGGGATCTAGTGTGTAAATAGATTAGTCCTTCAGGAACCATAATTTTAAACCAGGGACAAGGTGACTGAGGGGATCTTGGAGTCTCCGCGGAAGTTTGTTGATATTGTGGGTGTTGATGACAGGAGAGAGAAAACACTGAAAGACATCAGCTTGCTTTCATGTTTCTAATGTTCAAGGATTGAGTTTTGTTTTACAGCCCTGTCCCACTCTACCCCCTCAGAGATTGGGAAGCTTTTGGACTCAGTTTGAAGGAGATATGGCTGCATTCCAATGCAAGTATATTCTTTCCTAGAAACAGGAGATTGTTCAGGGCAATTAAGGAAATAAATTACCTCAGGGAAAAAGTGTCGTTTGTGAAATTTCCAGACCAGGGGTGTTTGGTTTGAAATCTGCAAATTTTTAAAGAGGGGGAAAGTCTAAGCTCTCTGTGTCAGTGGTCATTGGAAAAGGACTCGCAGCTCACGGGACTAGAAAAGAAACAGTTCAGTCAAAATGAAAGATTTTGTCAGGAAGGAATTTCTCTGGATGTTTGAGTAACTGTGGTAAAGTGGTGTTGGAGTTGATGGCAATTTATTTTGAAACTTTTCAAGCTCACTTTGTTTAATTTTGTTTTTACTTCTTTGTGTAATAGGCTTTGATCTTATGGTTAATACCAAATCAGCAGTCCCCTTGTGTGATGGGCCAGCAGGAGAGTAGGCAGGAAGAATGGGATTTCCTGATGGCTGTCTCTGAATGGGGACTTTCCCAGGACAAACGTTCAGAGCTCATGCCATTACAACCAATTAAAGGCCCATTTTGGATGCATTTTATAATAGCCCAGATATTGGTTCACACCTCCTTCCCCACTGTGAGCAATTAACATGGGCAGGTTAAAGGTTAGTAGAACCAGGGCCCCTTAACCAGGTCAATAGAGTGAAGGGCCTCAGTGTTCTTTTATTTATGGGATGTTGAGCTAGTATTTATTGACTTTGAGTTGTGATGACTAGCTCTCAAGGTCATCTCAGAGGGCAGTTCAGCATCATTCACATTACTGTCAGTCTGTAGTCGCTTGTAGACAAGACCAGATGAGGATCCTTATTCATTCACAGGATGAGGGCGTTGCTGGCTGGACCAGCATTTATTGCCCATCCCTAATTGCCCACAGGGCAGTTCAGAGTCACCCACATTGCTGTGGGTCTGGAGTCACATGTAGGCCAGACCAGGTAAGGGTGGCAGTTTCCTTCCTTAAAGGGCATTAGTGAACCAGACGGGATTTTCCGACAACCGGCAATGGATTCACAGTTGTCACTAGATTCTTAATTACAGATATTTAAGATTCAATGATTTTATTTCCAACATTCTCTGTTTTTATTTACAGAGAGTCCCTGAGTGAATTAGAGACTAGAAACTTAGTTTAGTCTGTTTCTCAGTCAGATACCATTACTGGATGAGTCCCTTAGTCACTCCTCATTGCTGCTGTGAAGGTTTGGATCAGCTCTCACATTCTCCCTGCACGAGGACATTCAATGCTCAACATTCATTGATTGCACATTGGACACTTTCTGCTTCCAAGATCACACTGGATTATATAATGAACCAGAGCACTGTCAATGTGCAGACTACAGGATCAAAATGCAGGGCAGCAGTGAGAAGAGAATGTGCTTTGTGTTATTATGAAGGAATTGACATGTTACTGAGGAAATAATTCTCTCCCATATTCTTTCCCAGTCAAACATGATCCTGGCGATTTCACTGAACACATTTTCTCATTTTCATTTGCAATCTGGAGCATGTTTAAACTTAATAAATGTGTGTTTATTGGGATGGTGGTGGTGAGCTACAGGGAGAGGATGAATAAGCTGGGGCTATTTTCCCCGGAGAGTCGGAGGCTGAGGGGTGATCTTGTAGAGGTTTATAAAATCATGAGGGTCATGAAGTATGGATACAGTAGACAGCCAGAGACTTTTTTCTCGGGTGGAGGTAGCTATTACGAGAGGGTATAGTTTTAAAGTGAGTGGAGGTACATATAGGGCAGACGTCAGAGGTAGGTTCTTTACTCAGAGAGTGGTCAGGGCATGGAATGCATTTCCGGAGAGGGTAGTGGAGTCGGCCTCATTAGGGGCATTTAAGCGGCTATTAGATAGGCATATGCATGATAGTATAAGGTAGGGGTGGAGGTTAGCTAGACCTTAGATTTAGGGTAAAAGTTCAGCACAACATCGTGGGCCGAAGGGCCTGTACTGTGCTGTACTGTTCTATGTTCTATGTTCTATGGATCGGATGAATAGCCAAGGTCTTTTTACCCAAGGTGGGGGAGTCCAAAACTGGAGGGGCATAGGTTTAAGGTGAGATGGGAAGGATTTAAAAGGGACCTAAGGGGCAATTATTTCATACAGAAGGTGATGCACATACAGAATAAGCTGCCAGAGGAAGTGGTGGAGGCTGGTACAATTACAACATTTAAAAGACATCTGGATGGGTATATGAATAGGAAGGGTTTAGAGGGATATGGACCAAATGGTGGCGAATGGGATTAGATTTAAATAGGATATCTGGTTGGCGTGGATGAGCTGGACCAAAGGGTCTGTTACCATGGTGTATAACTCTCTGACTTTATATATGGTGGCAATGTCATGGGGTTAGTAATCCAGCAAATACCAGGCTAATGCTTAGGGGATATGAGTTCAAATCCTAGCATGGAAATTGGTGAAAGTTGTGTTCAATAAAAATCATCCATCGAGAACCCGTCTAATGGAGATGAGGATTGTCATTTTGTCATTGATGATTGATGATCATTGATGATTGTAATCCAGTTGCATCTGGTTCATTCCTGCTCTTTACGGAGGACAGTCTGCTGGCATACATGTGACTCCAGACCTACAGCAATGTGGTTCAGTCTTAAGTGCCCTCTGGGGGCATTTAGGGAAAGGCAACAAGCGTTGGCCCAGACAGCAGCGCCCACATTCCCTGAATGATTTAAAAAGAATTTGTTTAAGGATTGAAAATCCTGATCTTTCTGAAGTGAATTCTCTGCAGTGAATTTGTTTGTAACTGCTCTCCGTGTCTGTCAGTAGTTTTTTTTGTCAGTTCTCTCTGTCTGCCTCCCCCTCACGGAGAGACTGGGTTTTTTGCTGGGTTTTTGGGCTTCTATTCCCAGATGTGAGTGACACAGTTTCCGCCACAATCACATGACTTCCAGCTTCATGGGCCCCGTGTTAGTTACCAGAAGAGGCAGGCTGAGAGTTTAGAAAAGTGAGATGAGAGGCAAGTTCAGTGAGAGAGCTGGAGAGTGCACTAAGGATTGCTTTGAAAGGAATGGCTCACGATTCTGACAGCAGTGACAGCAACTACAGCAGGTACCAGCCTTACAATGGCAAACAGGTACATTCAGTAGGAATGGCATTGGGCTGTGGTGGGGACCTGCAGTGGAGGGAGGGGGTGAGGTTGCAGATAGACGGTGGAGGTGCCTTTGAAGATTTAACCAAATGTACAAGGCAAGAGATATTGTATTTGAAACTGTATTTTAAATGTTTCACCCAGTTTCTCTCAGTTCTACTATGTTTAAATATAAATTCTTAAAGACTGGGCCATGTTATCACAGCCTGCACCTGTTTTCTTTCTTGTGTTTCCTAAGTTTCTCGTTTTCTTTACGGAAATGTCTGACTCTTCCTGGGCTGGTTAGCATAGCTCCTGGTCAGTGAGAGTAGCTGGGAGATTTCTCCTGGTCCTCAATGTGAGACCAGTTGTTGTACTCTCCCTGGGGATTGCAGCGCAGGCTCAGGGACAGTGTGCTTGATTACTCTCCTCTTGTCAGCTCACATACCCCCCAACCCCCTCCCGAACCTCAGCCAAGAGCCTCTGAGTTCAAGCTGCAATCTACTGAGACGGTGCTTTTAAAAGTTCCACAAGATTAATCAGAAAAAGGATTGTTTTTCTTTATTCATTCATGGGATGAGTTCATCACTGGCCAGGCCAGCATTTATTGCCCATCCCAGAGGGCAGTTAAGAGTCAACCACATTGCTGTGGGTCTGGAGTCATGTGTAGGCCAGACCAGATAAGGATGGCAGTTTCCTTCCCTACAGGACATTAGTGAACCAGGTGGGTTTTTTCCAAAAATTAACAGATTTGTGGTTATCACTAGATTCTTAATTCTAGATATTTTTTATTGAACTTAAATTCCACCATCTGCCATGGCAGGATTCGAACCCAGAACATTATCCGGGTCTCTGGATTAATAATCTAGCTATAACATCACTAGGCAAATGAAAAAAACACATGGTATAAAGCAGTAAGAGGCTGTCCCCTCACTGCCTGAATTTGAACAATACCATATACAACCAGTTGTTGTTGTTCACCATCAGCTTCTCCACAGGGAGAGCTGGTACTGAATCTCCTCTGGTTAAACATTGTGCTGGAGCTATCTCCCTTGTTCAGCTTCCAGCAGAGACCCAGTCCAAACCATTCAATGCTTGATCACTTTCAACTGTTTATATCTAAATAGTTTCTTTTTCAAAGTTTGATTCAGTTTATGACATTTGCAAATCAATTTGTTGTTCAATTCACAAATGGCCTGCTCTTCACTGGGAGCATGTGTCTCTCACAACCAATTTCTGCAACATTTCTGACAACCACAGCTCACTGTTACACACTGTGATCCCGGAGCTCCTCATGGTGCAGTCCCACTTCCTAACAACTCAATTCTACACCACAGGCCTCTGTCTCAACATCACACCAAACCACCTTCAGGTACTTTCACAACTCACTTCCATGGCTGCACATGTTATTTTCTGAAAAGAAAACAACAAGAAAAGCTCAACTATCGATTGCTTCACTGTTTTCAGCTTCACCAGGAGCTGGATGGGGAGACAGTGTAGAGGGAGCTTTACTCTGTATCCATCCCCATGTTGTCCCTGTCCTGGGACTGTTTAATGGGGGACAGTGTAGAGAGAGCTTTACTCTGTATCTAACCCCGTGCTGTGCCTGTCCTGGGAGTGTTTAATGGGGACAGTGTAGAGAGAGCTTTACTCTGTATCTAACCCTGTGCTGTCCCTGAATTGAGAATGTTTGATGGGGACAGTGTAGAGAAAGCTTTACTCTCTATTTAACCCCATGCTGTCCCTGTACTGGGTGTGTTTGATGGGGGGAGGGGGACAGTGTAGAGTATTTTAGTCTGTGGAAGCAATGGTCTGTAAGATGTAGAATGTGTTCTATTCTCCAACATAGATTGTTAAAGACACTCTCTGAACATAAATTCATTCTTTTATCTGATGTATAAAACCGTCCTTCATCTTCTGGAATAAAAGACTGATTGTTCACGTATCTTGAAAGTTATAAGATGATTAGATCTGCATGTTTAGTCAGTTTGTGTGCAGCTAATTTCCGGGTTATCCATGATTTCGGTTTTGTAAAAGAGTATTTGTTTTCATTTTCACCCAGGGATTATTTGGGTGAGATATTGACGGCTGTTTATAGAAATGTGGGTTTGAAATCTCTGGATTTTCAGACATTAAGGGCTGGACCAATCGAAGTGATTAAAAACAGTTGATGATTTCAACAGGTTCAATTTGTAATAATGCAGCGAAAAATCCAACTGTTAACGTTAGAGACGGAACATTCCAAGGGGGAAAAAAGGTTGGATCTCTGTCTCTGTTTTTGTGTGGGTCTCTCTCTCATTATCTCTCTCTCTCTCTCTGTCTCTCTGTCTCCCACTTTGTGTCTCTCGCCGTTTCTCTCTCAGGCTGTCGGTCCTGTCAATCTATTGTCATTTTTGAAAGGAGGGTTGAGTTGGAAAAGTGGTTTAAGGGATTCAGAGCAAATTTGGGGAGATGGAGGTGAGATAAGCACCATGGTGTGAGACAGACTCATGGGGATGAACCTTCTGTTTGTATCCTGCTGTTTGTGTAAGAGATCATCAGGGATTTCTCAGCAGCCGGTACAGAGCTTGCTAACACCAGCAGGAGGTGGTTTGCTCCTTCAGGAACACTGAGGCTAGTGTCAGGAAGTCGGTGTCGGTTGATTGTGAGATGAGGAGAAAGAGAACAGCAATGTCCATTGGTGTAGAGTGTTTCACACAGATTAGGGCGTCCAGAACAAGTGACAGATTAGTTAACAGCCAATAGTACGTGCTCGCTGTGCTGCATATCAGAATCGTAGAAATATTGGGTCCAGTTCTGTTCACCGCACCGTTAGAAGGATGTGGATGTGTTGAAGAGGGTACAGAAAAGGTTTATCAAGATGTTACTTGATATGGGGGATTTTAGCTATGAAAGATGGTTGGAGAGGCTGGATTGGTTTTCACTGGAACACAGGAGGTTGAGGGGCAACTGACTAGACGTTTATCAGATTGTGAATGGCAATCTATAGAGTGGAAAGTATGAGGCTTTTTCCCAGGGTGGAGGGGTTAATCACTAGGGGGCACAGGTTCAAGGTGCGAGGGGGGAAGTTTAAAAGAGATGTGCGAGGCAAGTTTTTCACACAAAGGGTAGTGAGTGCCTGGAACACGCTGCCAGAGGAGGTGCTGGAAGCAGACACAATAGCAGCATTCAGGAAGCACCTGGACGAAAGCATGAATAGGAAGAGAAAAGAGGGATACGCATCCTGTTAGTGACGACAGTTAAAGTATGGAAGGGCAAAATGTGTTGGCGCAGGCTTGGAGGGCTGAAGGGCCTGTTCTTTGTACAAACTAAAGGTGATCATCACTTTAGTTACACAGTGGGCAATGGTAACAAACTGGTTTAAATTTATTGAATCATTTTATGTGGAGAGATTCCCCAGGCGTTGATGGTGACTCTGACTGATTCACAGCGCTGCCTGAAAGCTGTGCAGAACTCTCATGGCTCCTTTCTCCCCACCTCCTTTATTCATTCATGGGATGAGGGTGTCACTGGCCAGGCAGTGTTTATTGCCCAGAGGGCAGTTAAGAGTCACCCACATTGCTGTGGGTCTGGAGTCACATGTAGGCAAGACCAGGTAAGGATGGCAGTTTCCTTCCCTAAAGGACATTAGTGAACCAGATGGGTTTTTCCAACAATTGACAATGGTTTAATGGTCTCCATTAGACTCTTAATTCCAGATATTTTATTGAATTCAAATTCCCCATCTGCCATGGTGGGATTAGAACCCAGGTCCGCAGAACATTATCGGGGTCTCTGGATTAACAGTCCAGTGATAATACCACTAGGCCATCACCTCCCTCTGTCACTGGGGGGGGGAGGGGGGCACGGTAAAACATATGAAGTAGTCACACACTGGGGAGAGAACCCTCCCAGAAGGAGGACAGTTTGAGTCAGAGGCAGCAGCAACAGCTAGGGCTGCCTGAAACAGAATGTAAACCTTTCAAACACCGCTATCCAGCTCCGATCTAACCTTACACAATACAATCATACACTGGACAGGCAGTGCACGCATTCTGTATCCAGATTGATAGGAAAATAATACAATCCCTCCTTTCCCATGTTCCAGGAAAACTTTGAAGAAACAAAGAAGGTCATGCGAAGGGAAAAAAATCGACTTGCAGCTCAGAAGAGTCGACAGAGACAGACTCTGAAAGCAGATACACTACACCAGGTAAGATGATAGGGTCAAATGGAAAGACATCCTCAGTCACCAGGAACAGAATAAAGTCTCAAAGCAACAGAGAACAGGGAGTAACAGGTCCTGAAACAGGCAGCAGCTGCTTTACCATCAAACTAAAGTGAAGGTACAGAGTACAGGCTCAGACTCCAGCATGAAAACAGGCCATTTAGCCCCTGGGCTCAGTACTGGAGGTTCTGCTTGTCATGACTCCTCTCTTCATCTGACCCTATCACCAGCTCCTTCCATTCACAGAGTTATAGAGTTATAGAGAGGTACAGCACGGAAACAGACCATTCGGTCCAACTTGTCCACACCGACCAGATGTCCTGGATAAATCTAGTCCCAGTTGCCAACATTTGGCCCATATGCTTCAACTTCCTCTGGCAGCTCATTCCATACACACACGGCCCTCTGAGTGAAAAAGTTGCTCCTTAGTCCCTTTTAAAGCTTTCCCCTCTCACCTTAAACCATTCTTTCTTCCCCATGTGTTTTTCCAGTTTTGTCCTTTAACACATCAAACCTATTCTCCTTGCCCATTCTGTCTGGGAGCCAGTCCCACACTCTCCCTGCTGCCTGGGGAAGGACGTTTCTCCTGGAACTCATATTTTTGACCCTTGTGTAATGTCACCTATAGTTTTTCTAAACCCACCTCCTCAAGGCCCTTCAAACTTGCAAAGGTCTCCCCCACAAACACCCCCCACCCCCCAAAACTGGGTCATCACTCAGTCCGCTCAAGCTAACAGCTCGATCTGCTCAATTTCTGCAGCACATCCCCTCACAGTTCAGAAATAATTATGGAAAAAACTATCTGTACCGTTTCTATATGATAAAAAACTTTCAGCCTGTCAAGGTGGATCATTTTTTACAATCATGGCTAATCCCATCCCCATGTCCTTGAGAAGAAAATTCAGTCTGTCCCAGCCTTTGATACAGAGACTCCCCATCCCTCAGTGACACAGAATTCCAAGGATTCCCAGCCTTCCAAATAAAGACATTTCTCCTCCTGTGGGTCCCACTAACCAGAGAATGTGTTTCAGAGTTCTGGATTCCCCTGGCCCAGGGGAAAAAGCATCTCTGAGATACTCCACAGAGCCCTGTGTGTTTCATCTTGGTCAGCTCATCAATCCTGGAAACTCCAGCAAATTAATCATCATAACGTTGACTGAAACTTACACCGGGATAATGAGGGAGTGGGCACTGTCGGAGGGTCAGGACTGAGGGAGCACCGCACTGTCGGAGGGTCAGTGCTGAGGGAGCGCCGCACTGTCGGAGGGTCAGTGCTGAGGGAGCACCGCACTGTCGGAGGGTCAGTGCTGCGGGAGCACCGCACCGTCGCAGGGTCAGTGCTGAGGGAGAACCGCACTGTCGGAGGGTCAGTGCTGAGGGAGTGGGCACTATTGGAGGGTCAGTGCTGAGGGAGCACCGCACTGCCAGAGGGTCAGTGCTGAGGGAGCGCTGCACTGTCGGAGAGTCAGTGCTGAGGGAGCGCTGCACTGTCGGAGGGTCAGTACTGAGGGAACGCCGCACTGTTGGGGGTAAGAGGCTGAGGGAGATGTTTTGCCTCTCGAGCCCAGCTGAATATGTGAAGGTTTTATTTGGAGAATGAGGTGATCTGATGAATTCTTTCCTGTCCTTCATTTCATAGGTTGTGCTTTCCAAACCCTTCTTGTTCTTTGTTTCAAAATGTCCTCCCTCATGTTGCTTCTAATGTTTTGCACATGTTTGTTTCAACTTTCAACCCTTGCTGACTTTGTGAGGACATTTTGAGATGTTGTCTTTGTGCTGCCCTAAATGTTCATCTGAAAAAAACTGGTTTGTGTCTGAGCCCTTCCCTGTGGCTCAGGATCCCACAGCGTCTGAGTGCCTCTGACTGTAGGTTTCTGTAGAGAGTGGGAGTAATTTATCTCCACGTCAAACTGAAAACCACCCTCTCTCATTCATTCAACCAATGAGAGATCTGTGGTGTCCTTTTTCCCCTCTCTAGAAAATACTTCAGTAAGTAGTGAAACACCGTTATTTATGGGAGTAACATAATATCACATGTAACATGCAATCTATAATATGCAGTACATAACATACAGTGTATAGTATATACTGTGTCACATGTAGCATGTGGTATATAATAAATAATATATAGTATATCATACGCACATGATCATTCACCCCCCCGAATGCAGCAAGAGTGCAGAGTTTCTGTGAGAAACTGTTCAGTTTGAGATACTGCTGTGGTTGTCATGTATGTGAAACTGTCAGAGGAAGCAGTGAATTTGGTTTGTAAGTTGTTGATGACCTGCACATTTCCTGCAGTTGGTTGGTTTAGCCAGGTTAACACAGCAAGTGTCCTACATTCTGAAGTGAATGAATCACAATGCTCCTGACCAAGAATCTACTCAAGGCTTGGTACAAGACATCTCCTTCTCCCTCTCCTTGGCCTTTCTCGCTCTCTCTCTCTCTTCCTTTATCTCTTTCGCTCTCACATCATGTCTACTTCAATCCACTTCTAAAACAATCAGGCCTTTCATCCCCAGGACCTCAGTGTTTTTGAGACTGTAGAATTGGATTTTTGTCCCTTTTACAATGAAGCAGCAGAGACAATGAGGTTTGAGTTAGAGATTCGCTAGCCTCAGGCTTGACTATTGATCACCTAGTGATGTTGTACTTAGTCTTGGAGTCACAAACTAGAGAGTGTGGGCGAGAATGGTTTCCATCAAAAAATGTCAAGAATTTCCACCATCATCTGACAGGACCCTCCCCTACCCACCATCCCGCCTCGGCAGGAACAAGGAGGATGAGAAATGTTTGATTTTTATCTGATTAAGGGCTAGAATACATGACAGTGTTTTCTGGAAAATTCACCATATCTCAGTAACCAATATTCTTTCAGATTCAAGATGGGAATATAGAAAGTATCTGCAGGATTAGGCCATTCAGCCCATCAACCCTACTTCACCATTCAAAATGATCATGACTGATCATCCGACTCTATCCCTTGTTCCTGCTTTTGCCCCAAACTCTTTGATTCCTTTAGCCCTAAGAACGATATCTAACTCTGTCTTGAAAACATTCAATGTTTTGGCCTCACCTGCTTTCTGTGGCAGAGAATTCCACAGGCTCCCCACTCTCTGGGTGAGGACATTTCCCCTCACGTCAGTCCTAAATGGCCCTACTTTTATCCTTAGACTGTGACCTCCTGGTTCTGGAATTGCCAGTCATTGGGAACATCCTTCCTGTGTTTACCCTGTCACGTCCTGTTAGAATTTTACATGTCTCTGTGAGATTGACCTTCATTCTCCAAACTGCAGAGAATATAATCCTAATTGATCCAGTCTCTCTTCATACCAGGCCCTGCCATCTCTTCATGCCCTGCCATCCCAGGAATCAGTCAGGTAAACTTTCGCTGCACTCCCTCTACGTCCAGAGTATCCTTCCTCAGATAAGGAGACCAAAACCGCATACAGTACTCCAGGTGTGGTCTCACCAAGGCCCTGTATAACTGCAACAACACATCTCTGCTCCTGTACTCAAAACCTCTCACAATGAAGGCCAACATACCATTTACCTTCTTTACCGCCTGCTGCACCTGCATGCTTACCTTCAGCAACTGGTGCACAAGGACATCCAGGTCCCACTGCACACTCCCCGCTCCCAATTTACAGCCATTCGGATAATAATCTGCTTCCAAAGTGAATAACCTCAAATTTATCCAAATTATACTGCATCTGCCATGTCTTTTCCCACTCACTCACCCCGTTCAAATCACACTGAGTCATCTCTGCATCCATGTCACAACTCACCTCCCACCCAGCTTTGTGTCATCTGTAAATGTTGAAATTTTACATTTATTTGCCTAATCTATGTCACATATAATATACTTTGTGACTAGCTGGGGTTCTAGCACTGATCTCTCCAGTCACCAGCTGCCACTTGGGAAAAAGATCCATTAATTTTTTGTTTCCTGTTGATATCACCATGCTCTCTCTTACTGTTCCCCAGTTTGTTTTAGTTTGGAATAATTCACAGCAGGGGCCTACCATCATTTCACATCTCTTTCTCACTCAAGATACCGATGAGCAAATTTCATAAAGGCAAAAACAGCATCTTCCTACCATACCATAAGGCTGCTCTTTCGCATCAGGTGATCCATTCTGATTCATGCCTCAGGTTAGGGGAGAGTTTGAGAAAGTCAGACCTTTGTGGTAACCACGGGCCGTGCAGGGAATTGAACCTACGCTGTTGGTGTCACTCTGCATTCCAGCCAGTCAGTCTCTCCCAGGTCACTGTGTGCATAGGGTTTACAGAGGGATGTTCAATCCCCACACACTTCCACCTCTACTCTCACTCTCTCTCACTCTCTTGCTCTCTCTCTCGCACTCCCACTCCATAATAAATAGAATGCCAGAAGATGTATCCGCCGTTCTAATCCTTTCCTATACGACAATCCCTGATTCCAGGAATCAGTCAAGTGAACTTCTCTAAACTGCTTCTATAAGCAAAGAGACGAAAACTGTACACTGCCTCCAGATGTGGACACCAACATTTTACACACACCCATAAGAAATATCTGTTTTTTTTATTCCATTCCCCTCACACTGACAGACAACGCTCCATTTGTTCCCTCTCCACTTTGCTGCATATTCGCTTCCGTACCTCAGATTTCACCAATCTCTCTTCGTTTCAATAATTTGCTGCTTTCCTATTCTATTTGCCAAGGTAGAAAAGCTCACTTTTTCCCCACATTATACTCCATCTGCCACATTTTACTCACTCACGTGTTCTATATTCTTTTCTAGGCTCATCATCTCCTCTTACTGAGTTAGTCTTTGTATCAGCAGTGAAGTTAGCCCATTTACAACAGTCTCTGCTTCCTGTTAGCAGCCAATCCTGGGGCCTTATGTTCCACTCTCCACTTGAGGGAACTGAATGGATTGTATAACCTGGGGTCATGTCCTCTTGTGAGGGAGGTGATGGCCTAGTGGTATTATCACTGGGCTGTTAATCTACAGACACAGGTAACAGTGTGGGGATCTGGGTTTGAACCCCACCACAGCATCTGCCATGGAGGCTTTTTCCTTTCCTTTATTCATTCACAGGATGAGGGCATCGCTGGCCAGGCAGCATTTATTGCCCATTCATAATTGTCCAGAGGGCAGTTAAGAGCCAATCACATTGCTGTCACGGTCATCATTAGATTCTTAATTCCAGATATTTTATTGAATTCAAATTCCACCCTCTGCCATGGCAGGATTCAAACCCCAGTCCCCAGATGTTATCTGGATCTCTGAATTAACAGCGATAATACCACTAGGCCATCACCTACCTAAATTACCCATTGCTGGTTGTCGGAAAAACCCATCTGGTTCACTAATGCCCTTTAGGGAAGGAAACTGCCATCCTTACCTGGTCTGGGCTACATGTGACTCCAGACCCACAGCAATGTGGTTGACTCTTAACTGCTCTCTGGACAATTATGGATGGGCAATAAATGCTGCCTGGCCAGTGACTTCCTCATCCTGTTAATGAATAAAGAAAAAAAAACTTCCACCCCTTCCTCTGGCAGCTCATTCCATACATGCATCACCCTCTGTGTGAAAAAGTTTCCCCTTTGGTCCCTTTTATGTCTTTTCCTTCTCACATTAATTCTACACTCTCAGGTTTTGAGTGACTCTGGGAAAAGAACTTGGCGATTCACCCTATCCAGGCCCCTCATGATTCCATAAACCTCTATAATATCATCCCTCACCCTCAGACGCTCGAAGGAAAATAGCCCCAGCCTATTCAGCCTCTCCCTATAGCTCAACCCTCCAACCCTGGCAACATTCTTGTAAATCTTTTCTGAACCCTTTCAAGCTTAACAACATCTTTCCTATAACACGGAGACCAGAATTGCACAGAGTGTTCCAAAAGTGGCCCTAATCAATGTCCTGTACAGCCACAACATGACATTCCCAACTCCTATACTCAATGCACTGACCAATAAAGGCAAGCGTACCAAATGACTTCTTCACTATCCTGTCTACCTGGGACTCCACTTTAAGGAAGTATGAACCTGCTCCCCAAGGTCTCTTTGTTCAGCAACACTCCCCAGGACCTCACCATTAAGTGTATAAGTCCTGCCTGATTTACCTTTTCAAAATGCATCTGCCACACCTCGGCCCATTGGCCCATCTGATCAAGATCCCATTGTAGTCTGGAGTAATCTTCTTCGCTGTCCACTACAGCTCCAATTTTGATGTCATCTGCAAACTTACTAACCAAACCTGATACATTCGCATTTAAATCGTTTATATAAATGTTAAAAAGCAATGGACTCAGAACTAATCCTTGCGGCACACCACTGGTCACAGGTTCTCCAGTTTGTAAAACAACCCTCCACCATCACCCTCTGAAGGCTACATTCAAGCCAATTTTGTATCCAGTTGGATGGTTCCCTGGATCCCAGGTCATCAAACCTTACTAACCAATCTACTTGCAGAAACTTGTCGAATGCCTTGCTGAAGTCCATAGTGACAATGTCCAATGCTTTGCCTTCATCAATCTTCTTTGTCACTTCTTCAAAAAAACTCCATCAAGTTAGTGCAACACAAACTATCTATAAGATGCATTGCAGAAATTCACCAAAGATCCTCAGACAGCACTTTCCAAACCCATGACCGCTTCCATCTAGAAGGACAAGGGCAGCAGATACATGAGAACAGCACCCTCTGCAACTTCCCCTCAAGTCACCCACCATCCTGACTTGGAAATATATCGCCGTTCCTTCACTGTCACTGGGTCAACATCCCGGAATTCCCTCCCTCATATCATTGTGGGTGAACTCACAGCAGGCGGACTGCAGCAGTTCAAAAAGGCAGCTCACCACCACCTTCTCAAGGGCAACTAGGGATGGGCAATAAATGCTGGCCCACCAGTGACACCTACAATAATAAATGAATAATTAAAAATAGAAGTCTTCTTTCTGGTTGGTTCTAGAACATGCTGCACTGGGAAACAACATTTTTAGTTCCCAGGCTGCCTTTGCCAATTGATTTGTTCATGGTATGAGTTGATTAAAATAATTTCTATCCTTCTCACAAGGCTCATTATTTATTCTGATATTTTCTGTCCTACAAAGTCATTTCTGCTATGGAGCCTGTACACTTAAACCCAGGAGTGGCCTCTTACCATTTTAGTTGTGATCTCTACCCAAAGCTACTGTACATCTTGATCTTTAGAAATAAGGTCATTCTCCTTGTTGTAGTTATGACATTCCTAATTAACATAGCTACCCTTCCTCCATTTCCCCTCCCTAAATATCACAAGAGACCTTCAACATTCAGGTCCCTGCCTTTGACATCTTGCACTCATAGCTCTGTGTTGGTTATCAGAGCAGACACATCTCTTTCTATTTGAGCACACCACTCATCTGTTTGTTATAAATGCCACGTGCAGATATAGACCTTTTAGTTCCGTCTTTGTACCATTTTCACAACTTCTAGCTTTATCTACTGGCACACTCTGAAGATTATACGCTCTGCTGCTTCCTGTCAACCTCTGATTATAACTTCCCTTATTGCTACCTTACTGTATTGCCTTGTCGTCTCTCTTTAATGTATCACATCTTCCCTCAGTACTTATTCCTCACTCTCACTAATTTAAAGCATGTATTTTCCTTGTTATACAGTTTGCCAGAACACTGGTCTCACTGTGCTCCGTAAACATTATCCCATTGGTACAGCTCCCACTTTCCCAGAACTTGTCCATGTTCCAGGAATTCAAAATCTCTCTCCCACACCAATCTTTAAGCCTTGATAAAACTTTCCAGAAAGGTTCCTCCAATATTTTTGTTTTGTTTTCTTTTGCAGGAAAGCGAATATTTAGAGAAAGAAAACGCTGCCCTAAGGAAGGAGATTAAACAGCTGAATGAAGAGCTGAAATATTTCAGCAGTGTGTTGAAAAGTCACGAGGGTCTGTGTTCAATGATGGTGTCCCCAAGTGATGAGCTGGCTTATCAGAGTCACTCCTTTCAGCATACACACAGCAACACTTCAGCACGGCTTCACCTGTGAGGCTGACAGAAAGGACACTTGGAATTAGCTGTGAACACGATAAGCCGAGGTGAGACCTGACATAAACTGACACTCCTGGTTTCACCTTGCCTCAAGGAGCCACATACACATACACATACATGCTGAATCAGTGCCAGCCTCACAGAACACTCACTCCGCACAGTGCCACTTAGTTGTTGAGCTGGATTCTAACAGGACTCAACCTGCAGTTTCACAGAGTTATCACAAATGCTAAAGTCTTAAAGCTGGAGCAGGAAATGAACAACCTCTCTGCTCCTATGATGCTGCCTGGCCTGCTGTGTTCATCCAGCCCTGCACCTTGTTGTCTCGGATTCTCCAGCATCTGCAGTTCCTACTAACCCTGTTCACATTGTTGCCAACAAGGTCCAGAATGGGTTTGTGTCTGTCGATTGGCTGTATCAGTAATCCATTAAGACCAGCAAGAGGGGCTGAACAGGTGAATGTTACATCCTTCCAGATGAAGACCTTCCCAGGGTCACCGAGAGAGAGAGAGAGAGAGACATCTTTGCTCCAGCCTGACTCCAAAGTAGGGCAGCTTCCTGGGCACCTGGACATTTACACAGGATCATCAAAATCCTCTGACACAGAGCGTGTGGCTGAGACACAGTCACAGTAGCTTCACTGAGACAAGCTGCTGTACTCTCTGACCAAATCATCTTAGTCCCACAGAGAACCTGACCAACTGTGGGAGATCAATCTCAGGAGCAAGACTCTCTCAATCACTGCAAGGGATACAAGTCCGTCCAGCTCGTTCTGAATGGAATAGACATTTTATATCAATTTTTGTCGGTTGATAAGTCCTGAATCATGAATGTTTTTTTTCCTATGGTCAGAGTTTCACATGCTTAATAAGCAGAGGCAATGAGAGACCATTGTGGGGAGAGATGGCATGAGGGTGGGAGCTAGTCACTGAGCCACCCCATTTCAAGTTTTCTGATTTCACTGAGACACCTGACCCCAAGGTGGACTGGGATCTGATTGGCAGCTCATCTGTCTCTGAACCATCATGGATAGCTCTGGGATTCAGGACTCTGGACTGGACAAAGGAAAATCCAAAGCCTGACCTGCCTGACCCAGGGGCTTTCCCTATCACAGGCCTAAGGCCATACCTACTCCATCTGGGAGGGTTTCTGTGACTGTCTTCTCCACCACTGACTGCCGTCCCCTGGAGGTTTCAGTCCATTCCCATTGGCTCTGGACATGAGTTAATGTTGGGGAATTTTAATATTTAAGTTGCTGGCCCTGGCCTCACACTCCTTTCTAGTCCCACATCTGCACCCCCTCCCCACCCCCATCCCTACATAGTCTGGGTTGACCTTGTTGTGTTGGAGTCAGTCCAGTTGTAGCTAACTGTAAGCCCCTCAGATACCTGAAAATAACTGGGGGTCACCTTAAACCTCTGACTCATGGAGGTGCCAGTGTTGGACTGGGGTAGACAAAGTCAGAAATCACACGACACCAGGTTATAGTCCAATAGGTTTATTTGAAATCACAAGATTTTGGAGCGCTGCTCCTTGATTAAGGGACTGGAGTCTGAAAGCATGTGATTTCAAATAAACCTGTTGGACTATAACCTGGTGTCGTGTGATTTCCAATCTCTGAACCGGTTTGTACAACACGCACAGAAGTGTCTTTTGAGGGGCTCAAGTCTCAAATTTTAAAAGTCTCTTTGACTTACACAACCTAGTGTTTAAATATGTATTGCTCCCTCCAGGACTCAGGGTTAAATATTGCACTAGAGTAAAAGCCAGTCTCTCATTGCCCATGTCTTGTCCACTCTGCTGACTGACATCTAAATACATTTGCAGTTCAATTCTGTTGCTTCACCATGTTTACATTGGAGTTACATTTCAATTTGAGGAATGTTCCATACAACAGAATTAATAAGGAGTTAATAGAGGAGTGAAAGAAGTGATAGTGAGAATGAGATTCAGCTTAGTCATTGCATGAGAGAGTGGAAATGAAACGTTATCAATATACTTCAGCTGAATTCTCAGTATCGATAAGTAATCAGTCCGTTTTAAACCTCAGTTAATTTACACTCTGCTCTTCCACATTCTGTCACTGGAACTTGCTAGAACTGATTATTTCAGATCACAATTAGAAAGAACTCTAAGCTTTTTCCATTCATTATCATTATTGATGAAGAGTAATGATCATTAAGCATTGTTATTAAAACAACCTTTCATCTCGCTGATTGATGAGTACACAGATTGGAAACTCTGAAACTGCATAATAAACTTTGAAAGGTGTAATCTGTGATTACTTCTCCTCTGCAGCCATTTTCAATCCTTTCAAAAGAAATGACTCAACAAAACATCAACAAGTTGGGTAAAATGATAAACCCTGGGACAAGTGCAATAAGGCTCTTCTCTCTAAACCAAACTGACCTGGGTTTCATCAAGTCAGACTTCACTAAATTTCTTTCTAATTTATTCTATCATTTAGCAATGTGGTTTTCTCGAAATGGGGGCTGATAGGTTTTGGTTTTAGTCTGTGAAGGTAACTTTGTTTAAAGAGGCCAGGAAAATAATTTGGCTAAGTAACCTAAACACATCATCTTCAAGAAAGCATACAATTTAGTAAATGCCCCATCACCATTTATGTACACATGTTTGTACTCCTAGAAACTGAATCAATTTAAAGTTAAGAAATTCTCCCTTTGTCCAGTTGGTCTTCAGTTAGTTTTCCATGTATTTACTGCTAGCATTTTGAGTCCTTTATGGGCACCCACTGCTGCTACAGTGAATTCACGTCCAACAGTTATTTTACCTGTTGTGGTGTGGTACAGAAGTGGTACTGCTTATTTTAGCTCTCATAACTTACAAAACTGGGCATGAATATTATGGTATTGAAGAATCCAACAGACGATAGTAACTAACTATTATGTACAAACACTACATTCCTCTGACATATAGGTGTTTGGGCTAACATTGAGCTATTACAGTATGGTGTCATGCTTGAAGTAATCCAAGGTAAGATGGAGTGTGAGATCTTTATAGAACATAGAACATAGAACATTACAGCGCAGTACAGGCCCTTCGGCCCTCGATGTTGCGCCGACCTGTGAAACCAATCTGAAGCCCATCTAACCTAACCTATTCCATTATCATCCATATGTTTATCCAATGACCATTTAAATGCCCTTAAAGTGGGCGAGTCTACTACTTCTGCAGGCAGGGCATTCCACGCCTTTACTACTCTCTGAGTAAAGAACCTACCTCTGACATCTGTCCTACCTCTATCACCCCTCAATTTAAAGATATGTCCCCTCATGCTAGCCATCACCATCCGAGGAAAAAGGCTCCCACTGTCCACCCTATCTAATCCTCTGATCAACTTGTATGTCTCTATCAAGTCACCTCTTAACCGTCTTCTCTCTAACGAAAACAGCCTCAAGTCCCTCAGCCTTTCCTCATAAGACCTTCCGTCCATACCAGGCAACATCCTGGTAAATCTCCTCTGCACCCTTTCCAATGCTTCCATATCCTTCCTATAATGCGGTGACCAGAACTATACGCAATACTCCAAGTACGGCCGCACCAGAGTTTTGTACAGCTGCAACATGACCTCATGGCTCCGAAACTCAATCCCTCTACCAATAAAACCTAACATACCGTATGCCTTCTTAACAACGCTTTCAACCTGGGTGGCAACTTTCAGTGATCTATGCACATGGACACAGAGATCTCTCTGCTCAACCACACTACCAAGAATCTTACCATTAGCCC